ATATTATTTTTTAGAACTACTTCGTAAGCCGTTTTTGATTTTTATGACCTCACTCTACACTCATCTTTATTTACACTGCGACTGACGACGGAAATGCAGACAGTAATTGCTGTCTGACAACTGGCGGACGGGCCAGGCAGGCAATGTAAACTGTTTCAACTGTTAACAAGTAAACTGCGTTCGGTTCTTTGTTCCACTGAAGTCAAAACTGATTAGCGTGGCAGTTGAGTTGTTTGAATAGATCAGAGCGGTTTTCAAATGAGTGTCTTAAAACCAAAACCAAAGTAATCACTCCAGCCAATCACAAAGGACACAGACAATCCAATGAACCAATAAAAACTCGAGGTAATTAAATGTTAATGACGCGAAGCACGGGAAAACGTGTGCGAGCGGGTCACGATTGGTATTGGTTTCACTTCTGATTGGATGAAAAAGTGGCGTGAGTTTTTTAAGCCAATCGTGTAGCTTAGTTAGTGAAAAACCAATTACTTTTCGACACCCGCTCCATTTCGTATCTCATTTTGGTATTCACGTTTTATTCTTAAAACTTTCTCCTTTACGTCTTCTTTTTAATGCTTTTTATGTTGATTTTTGTTTTAGGTTGTTCTTTTCCTTATGTTGTATGTCTTTGTCTGTCTTATCTCTGTGTAGGATTTCACTGTCATTCGTGTTCAAGATTTAACACCCGCCAATGTCGAGATCGGCAGAGTAACGTCTTTTGACCGGGACGAGGCTGACAACGCCAAGATATTTTATCGCATTGAAGGTAGCTTTTGATCTGCCTGTGGTTTAAATTTAAAGTAATTGATGTATTTTGTCCAGTTGAAGATTTCCCTCCTCCTTCCCTCACCTCCTCATTTTCACGTCCCCTTACTCCCTCCCTTTTCCCCCTCCCTCCTTTTCCCCTCTCCTCTCCCCCCCCCCCCTTCCCCCCCCCCCCCCCCCCCCCCTTTTTTTTTTTTTGTTCTCGCCCCATTTTCCGCGCCACAAAACACCGAAAATCCTTTATTGCAAGCCGTACTGGAATAATCCGTACAAATCAACAACTGGTGAGTGTAACTCAGGGAATCAAAATGTGGCTGGGTTGGTGGCTAAATTGTGTGATTTAGTACTTGTGTAAAAAAAATTCCCATCCTTACTGATCTGCAAGCCGTACTGGAATAATCCGTACAAATCAACAACCGATGAGTGTGACACAGAGAGTCAAAATGTGACTGAGTTGGTGGCTAAACTGTGTGATTTAGTACTTGTTTAAAAATTAATTCCCATCCTTACTGATCGTAGGTTCAAGTCTAACCGAATCCTGGAAATGAAAGGCAGAACATCGGTGCTGGCACTCAACTCCGGTTTTTATATAGTGATGAGTGACCAGAAGTATTAGAACGTCCCCTGTATGAGATGTAGTCTGTCCGTAGGTCATGGCCGTTTGCCCTGACAACTCGCAATGTGCAATGTATCTGTTTATACCCGTGAATGGAGAGAAGTTTTCTGTAGCTAATAGTGGCATTTAACTCGGTGTTTTCAGTATAGCGTGTTAAGGAATATGGCTACATGTAAACCTTCACTTCCCCTCCCCTCCCCATCAGCTGGGATACTCTTCCACTGCAGGTTTCTTCCCTGCTGTCTCTCAGCTTACCTCAACAGTTTCTGTTTGTCTACATACCTTCAACTCAAAACTGTTCACATCGGCCAGAACTCTCGACCTTTGACTTTTGACTGAGAAATCACTGCATAGACTTGACTGAAAGCCGTTGCTCGTGAGTGGAGTCCACGCTCCACACCCAGAGGAGAAGACTGAGGCAAGGGGATCGGCGGAAATAGAGCCTAAACTACTGGGCTGAATCTACTACCAGGGCTTTTGCCTTGAAATCTGGAAAGAGGAGACCTGAAAATGAGGTTGTTGAATATAGTTCAACCATTGAATTTTTTTTTCTGATGTATTTTCCTTCCATAGGAAAGAGATGAGAAACCAGTTTACAACTTGACTGTGATCGCTGAAAACACTATGGCTTCTCCCAAGCTATCGACAAACTTGACGGTTCAGGTCATCATATATGACGTGGGTGTTCAAAGACCACAGTTCACCTCGAGTCAATACCAGGCAGAGGTTTCAGAGTCCGTACCAGTCGGGACATCTGTAATAAAAATCAACGTCACCAACAGTGAGCAGGTATTAAACGATTTTGTACAATGCTAAAAAATATAAGAAAATAGTACAGTTTATGGTGAAATTTAAATAAACTCCCTTTTTTTCCCGCTACAGGAATGTATGATTCCGCTTACTGATTGTCATATGTTATCATACATTATCACTCATTCGCACGGAATAACATTTATTAAAACAATATTCAGCATGCGTAATCATACATTAGAGCAGTATCCCTCAATTCGTAATTGTCAAACATTCTTTTGAGGTTTCGTGGCCGCCATATTGGAATTCGTGCTTGTATGAGAAATCTGCGAAAAGAACTCATTTCCTGAAGACCAAACATTTTATTCCTGGGGTATAAGGCCAATATCAAAGTGACCGTTACGTCATGTTCAAATGCTTTATTACAAGGAAAACATTTTCGGTAGAGTTAACCTTTGTATTTTCTTGGCATTTTGTAGGTTGTGACCTCCCATGTTTTGTTTAAAATTTTGTACGATCAAAGTAGCGCGGGTGCAAGAAAGTTTGCGATAGAACCTGAAACGGGTCTCATTACTACACAGGGAGAGCTGGACCGAGAAACGACTTCCAACTACACCGTGAGTACCACAGATAGGGTGGTTTCGGATATACTTTTATTTTACGAGACAAATCTCAATGGCTTTACTTCTTAGTCGGTAGAGTGTTCCAACCTTGCCTCTGAAGTCATGGGCTCCAATGACGTTGAAGTTTCAATGTCTTCCATCTTCTTCGCACATCCCTTCTGTCTTTCCGCCATTGTACATGTAGACGAGTGGTCGAATCATCTAAGAGGTCCGCGCGTTACCGAGTTGTTAGACACTCCAAGTCTGTATGCTTTGTATGACGTGGCAAGCTGATAACACCGACAGAAAGAAGCTTGATAATGGCCAGTTCAGTCTTGTTCAATCTTAACCATCCACGATCAGTCAGTTTTGGTCTTTCGTTAATGGCTTGTTACGAGTTATGATGCGCCCGGGAAGTTTGGAGGGCACGAAAGAAGCGTAAGAGTTGCTTCAAGCGATACCAGAGAGCAGCTTTAGCTTCTTGAGTGTCGTTCAAACTTCCCAAGTGCATCATTACTCGAGAGTGCACAGCTAAAATCATGATGAACCAATTGTTTTATGACATTGCTGATGGAAACGTACATCAAAACCCTGGTGATTTGCAATATTGGATTATAGTGCACGCTAACGTTTAAGTATTTTTATTTCTTCTACATGTAGCAATGAATTGTATCTTGCAGCTGATAGTGGAGGCGAAGGTGCTGAACACAGATCTTGAACATAACTTGTTGTCAAGTGTAGGAACTGTGTTTATTAACGTCAGCGATGTGGATGATAACTCCCCTCGTTTTGTACAACGGAGTTACCGGTAAGATGTAATTTTCGTTGCAGATTTGTCAGCAAAAGCGGTTATGTCCTAAGAAAGGATCTCATTTGCGCGCCTAATTCAAACTTACTGTACTTTCAGCTTTACGCCAAGTGAACTGTCACGTGTCGGTGACGTCATTGGGCAAGTGCGAGCTGTGGATGTCGATGAAGATAACCAAGCTGAAGTGTTTTATCAAATTACGAGTGGTAATCAGAAAGGTATGCGACAAATCTCGTATCTTTGTATCTAGATACGAACACTTGATCTGTTGCAAGTTACGTCGAAAATCGAATGCTTACAGTTGTCGTAGTAATTGCTTTAGTCAGCTCTGGCATCCCATCGCCTTGAATCTATCTTGTGTGTTTTTGCTGGTTTTGTCTTAGGTCTTTTTGATATCAGCCAAAATCAGGGAACAATTTACGTCAATCGTAGTCTTGAGAAAGAAGCAGCCTCTACCTTCCACCTGGTTATAAGAGCACGCGATTCACCCGAAGCTGGCAAGACGAGGAAAAGAAGAGGTGACTTATAAAACATGATGATAATACGTTTTTTTTACTTTGCTGCGTGATGTCGTTACGTGTCTGCGTACGCGTGCGCGTGTTTGCGTGCGTGCGTGCGCGCGTGCGCCATTATGTAATTACTCAGTGAAATAGAAGGAAATGAGGGAGACAGAAAACAGGAAAACAAAATGAAACAGAAATATATATATATTTCTTTCTTCCCCGCCCGCGTTTCTCGCTGCTCAGTCGTTCTTTTACTTCTCGTCGCACTCTAGCAAAAAAAGAGACTGCTCGCAGTCTACCTACAGAATAGATTGTCGTTAAAACACGTGTCCCGCGCGCGTTTCGGTTACCTCCCCAAAACACAAAGAAAAATTTTTTAGTTGATAGTGATTTCAACCTGCGCAATCTACCGTTTCTCCAACCAGAGTATAACAAATGCTGTAACAAAGTCCTGATGCTCTAAACGTCAGCTTAACCTTATGAACATTTTACATTTATGAACTTCAAGTTGATGAATAGCTAAGTGTTTCTTTTGCTCGCCGACGCAGCACAAAGGTTTCTTCAGAAAGTAACAACTTATCTTGATTATTCTGTTTGATGCTGTGTTTAGGCCAAGACATCACTTTTGACGAGGTTACAGCAACAATTCAAATCAGTGACGAGAACAATAATCATCCAGTTTTCACTCAAACACATTTCATAGGAGGTGAGGCTGCTGACTACCTGGGTCGCGCGTAACAGTAGTGTTTTAAAAAAAAACACTGTTCAAAATCCGTTTTTAAGGAAGAATGAACACATTAAAAAACAAATTTCTTTTACGAAGAGTTGGTGCTTTTATCCTACAAGTTCGCGTAGCTCGCACTTTATACGATGAAAATGGCAACGCTGTGGTTGTCTACCTGCCTAATGAATTTTGTTGTAGTATGTAAGTTAGTATTTTAGTTAGGCGAAGTTAAATAAATTAATTGGTAGAGGAGCTTTATTTCTGACCTTTTTGCGTACATGTACATGTGTATCTGCCATTTTTTTCTGCGCTCAGATCTCCTTCATACCATACTCAGTGGATTTACCAATTTGAAATACTCCTCCTGACCCTCCGCTTGGGAGAGAGACTTTGGTGCGCAATCTAGTGAAAGGAGGGTTTCGGCGATATAGGTTGAAATTATTATTAAGAGTTTTAAAATTGGAATGTGCACTCGTAATTTAGTTGAAATAACATGCAATTATCTGCCCTCTTCTTTGTTGAACTCCTGATTTTTAACCAAAAGTTTATTCGTAGGTAATGACATAGACTTGAAACTGCACTGAATCCATGAAATGGACACATTTCAGCGACTCATTTCACAACAACTGTTAACATGGGTGTGCCTTGGTCCCTGGTCAGCTTATTGTCACATTAATTCCGTTTTACAAAGACTAAATCTGTCTTACATTTCACTAAGTATCCTCTCAACTCACATGTAATCAGCATCTTTTTTCATTTATCATGATTTGTAGGCTTTTATGAAGGTGAAGCCTCAAGGAACACTGTTGTAGCAAATGTCCAGGTAAGCGACTCTTATCGGCCTTGGCATTTATGTAATTTGTTGTTGCAAGCCAATATTTTAGGCGTACGACTTGTTCCACGATTGTAATCCCAAGAGTTCATAACGCAATTTCCCTTTTCTTTGTCGCCCAGGCATTGGATAAGGACTCTGGTGCTTATGGCTCTGTGCTGTACTCCATCGTGCACGAAGAGATTCCCGGGATTTTCTTCTTAGACGCGAACACTGGTGGAGTAACCCTGTCCAACCTCTCGGCCCAGGTCGCTGGGAAGCTGCATTATACACTGTCAGTTTCAGCCGTGGACAACCTGGAGAAAGTGCCTTACCACAAGACCAATCAAAATGCTTTTGTTCATGTACGTTTTGCAATGTAGTTGTCGTTGTCGTTGTTGCTGTTGTTGCATGTAAAAGAACAATTATCATTTTACATTTCCTAATAACTGCTTCTTTTTCTTTTTCAGATTTTTGTTCTCTCTGATTCCACAAAGCTGTCACTTGAACTTGGTATTCCTCTTGAATTTGTTCAAGAGAAGAGAAACGAGATTGAAAGGTTTGGTTTTTTTTGCCCTCTGTGTACGTATGATCACTAGCTATTGCTGAAGATGCTTCATTTTAGTGGTTTAACTTGAGGTACGTTCGTCAAAACTCTTTCGGGACATTTCTCGTCCTCGAAAACGCGAATACAAGTAGACTAATCGCCGACTAAGATTTAACTGGATCCGCTTGTAGGATTTCCTGGAAACTGAACGATTACCAGCAGTCATATAAGCAAAAGATACATACGATGTAAAAGCCATGAATTGGAATCCTGTTTTCCCGCACTTACCATGGATTGCAAGGTTTTACTGTAACCGCTAATAGGCCATATTCGTATTCTCGGTATTGGAGTGTAACTACAATCATGGACAAAAGTCTTGGGACAAATTTGCACTTGTGGCGCTTTTGCGTACACGCCAGGCGCGAATACAACTTCACCTGCCTAACCTCGCCCCCCACCCCCCATACAATGTTGAAAACTAGTACGTGCAATTTCAACTGATTGTCAACATTGTGTTGGGTAGGGAGGGGGGACAGCAACCCGTTTATTTATAAAGGATATAGCAGCGTTTTCTTCATACTTCAGTTCTAAAACACAGATAATCAGTTACATTACATAAGTGTCCCAAGGACTTTTGTCCACGATTGTAGCTTGCAGCTGAGGCTAATGTGGGCAGTCTTTTCAAATGCAAATGACATTAATTTGTTTTTAATGAAATTCTCTGTATGAGCCTCCATTGCAAGCTAGTTCCAGTGCAATACCGAGAGTACAAATATGGTCTCTTGGTCTACTGCGATAACTGGCGGCGTAGTGACTGGCCACATGCGATCATTTTGGTCTTTGCTTGACATTTTCTCCACTTTATCTTTAGCATGCTGCGTAATCTTACCGGGGGAACAGTGATAATTAAATACATGCAAGAGAATGGTGACGGACGGTAAGTTCTTTGTAAACGTAATCATGACAACTGCACTCAGGGAGGACCCACTCACTTTTCAGGGGTAGGATGTTCAAGAAGACATTTCCTTTATGTTGATGGAACTCGTGCGCATGGGAATGCAATCTGATGGGTCATTCATCCCATCTAGGAGAGACGGGGGGAGGTGGTGGTAGAAATACTCTCAGTCTCTTCAAGTGACTGAGAGTACACACTTGGCTCGATGTAGACTTTACTAGTACTGCCCTGTGTCATAAATAGCTGCTTTCTTCCGTCCTAGAACCATTATCTATTTCCATGCTATCGACAATAATACGCTGAATATACTGACGCAGGAGGATTTTATGAGGTAAGTCACTGAAAAATACTCAGTTCTCTGTTTCGAAGACCACGTAAAGTAAAGTTTTGTGTAGCAATATTTTCAGTCAAGAACCGTTCTTTTGTTTGCCTTCCAGTTGCAGCTGCCTTGTTTATGCAATCTTTTTCTTCTGTTTGTCGTTGTTTGTCGTGACAATTTTTTTTTATCGTGTAATTGAATTTCAGTGGCTTGCTAAATAACACCGGCCTGATCAGCAGTATTTTCAGAAAATGGAATATACGCATGCCAGCAGCCGAGACAGCGGAAGCATCCAAAGGCTCAAGGAACGAATTCAGTGCTGTAATCGCCGCTATGTTAGTACTGTCTGCTGGTATCGGGGTGGCAGGAGTGATTGGCATAATTGTCGCGTGTCGCAAGAAAAAACGGTAAGCTTAATATGAGCGAGGTTTGATTGTTGAAATTTTAAAGACAGTGAATTTGCATTGACTAGATGTAAACTGTTACGAGCGCGGATTTATGCTGTAGCAAATTTGAAAAAGAAAAAGTTGTTTAAGAGAATTTTTACAAGGTTGTGACATTCATAAGATTACATCTTTGTAAAGTTTGATCATAGTTAAAGGAGAGGAATGGTTATGACGCCCAGTCAGGTCCAGGTCCTTGTAAAGAAATTTGTCAGGCTTCTTAACCATTCCCCTCGATTAACTATGGATCGAATTTAATTTGAATGTGAAAACGTGAACAACAGGCACATTCGAAAAAAGACTCTCAAAGAAGATGAGCGTGGGTCCGCGTAAACACCATCTTCATCTTTTAATTAACGAGATAAACGTATGATACCACAATCCATGGATTCAATAAGAAGGACAGAATAAGGTGGCTGTTCCTGATTAGAGGGTGACAATGGAAAATTTACCTTGGACAGTTGCTAGTCTGTCACCCCAGTAAGACGCCAATGCGGGCAGTTCACGTTTGAAAGTGGCCTTCCGGGTTCACAAACAATAACAATGTTTTATTGAGTCTCATGGGTAGCCTAGTGCCACGCAGTTAGAGGGCACACTATCACAGGGATCTGTCCTAAAACACCCACTGTTTGGCTTTAATTTGGCGGGTTTTGATGAAAAATTCTTCACCTACTACATTTTCTAGTCAGAAGACTGTTTACAAGACAACTGATAACGGGGAGTCACCGTTTCCACTAGCAACGGCTTGGTAGTAAGTACAAGAGATTGATTATTTTTGTCAAACTTGAACTAATTTACGAAATGCAAAGAAGCATTCATGACGGCAAAGAAAACAAGGTAGTCTAATAATCCCAGGGGGTACTCCCTTATGTGGGTTATATAGGTATGTGTGTCCCCAAAGGGTATGGTTTTTCAGCCGTTTTGGTCATAAACAGGGTATCGATTTTGGCCATTTTGGTTAGAAGTAGGGTATAGTTTTTGCACTCTAGTCTTGAATTGGGTATGTTTCTTAGAAGAAGCTACTTTTCATCATTATCGATTATACCATCATCAAAAGCCCTTCATAAATTATGTTTAGGGCAACTGCACCAGCCGCAACGGTCATAAATAGGGTCTCAAATTTTTGGTGAGGTCATAAATAGGAAAGCGAAAATCGCAGATTTTGGTCATAAATAGGGTAAGGGTTTTGGGAACCTCCATCCAATTTTTCTGGGATTACCCCTCTCGGCCATTTAATCAGAGATTGAAATAAATACGAGCGGTAAGCAAATTCAGTTTTTTTTTTGTTACTGTTAGAATCCTTTCCCTTTTGGTTATGCTTAAAATAGTCATAGGCTAAGTTGGAAATAAAAAAAAACTAAAAAGGTAATACCAAATCAAAGGGGACACAGATGGTACACGTGAAAGAACATTATTTCAACATTTCAAGACAAGCTGTCGGGGAAGGAACTCCTTTCATGCACCTCTGCAAATGTCAAACTCAACTAAACTTTGTACTAGCTATACAGTTTAATAGATAAACTGAAAAACAAGCAATACCAAATGATACAAGAACGAATAGTATCCTCCCCAAAAGTCACCAGTGGTTCTGATCCAAATGCGGAATGGCGGAATTATCCATTTCGAGAGTTTAAGCCGGTGTGAGGTTTAGTTGCTCTTGACGCCTGAGTGGCATTGCAGTTAGCTCGAAGATAGTTAGTTTCATTAGTAGATACTATCTAGTTATCTTTACGCTATACACAGTTTTTCTTTTAGTCATTATACTAAAGACGTATAACTCGAAAATCCAACTAGAAGTTCTTATTTGAACTCAGATTCATTAAAAGTAGAACTACATGACTTTATAGAAAAGGCAAAAAGTTCCAAACTTAAACCTAATTATGTTTCCAACAACATGATGTTTATTAGTCTTTTTATTTTCATTTTATTTCAGCTCTATGGATGTTCCCGGCATTGAAGCATTTATTGATGCCAAGGCTGATGGAACTCGACGATCTCTGTAAATATGCTTACAGCTACACTGTAAAATAAAACTGCTGGTTCATTTGAAACCTGAACTCCAAAGTTCCTAATGCGAAAACCAAGTTCAAATTCAAGATGCGCCTAAGGCGGTTTTTTTGAAATGCTCTTTTTGGGGATAGTTTGTTTATCCGCTACACACTGCAGAAAGATTTTAGACACTGTCAGTTTTAGGTGAGATTGCTGTTCACGAAAAAAAAAATATATCATTGTACGAGACGCGCTCTCTTTCCTCTACCCCACTCAGTCAAAGCATATTTATACACTGTTTTCGATTTTTAGGAGATCAACATTGAATTGGGAAGGGAAGAAGACACAATTGTTGTTGTTGTTGTGTTTATTTTTTACTGAAGCGTTTCAATAAATTTAGATGTCTGATATAATTACCTCAGAGACAGAATTTCCAACAGGTCTATAAGATGCCTAAGAACTGGACGCCATCTCTGGCTCCTGCACTCTCATTAAAGGCTCACGCCCTCTCATACTTTCATCACTGGCTCGTGCCCGCATCACCCTCTCACCACTGCCTCTAACCCGCATTCCTGGCTCCCTTACTCTCATGACTAGCTCCTGCCCACATCGTCCTTTTCCGCTCACTCACCACTGGCATTTTACCCTCATTCTTGGCTTCCCCCCTATCAACATTGGCTCTTACCACCTTATCATTGGTTCTGACCGTCTCTTTGTTCCGTTTCGGTGCCCTCTTAGTTGTGCGAAAGGTTGCGTAAAAGTAGGTTTCAATGTCGGTGTGCATTGTTGCGTAAATTTTGTTCGGACTAAACTAATTGTTATGTTTTTTTGTGACGCATTTTTATTTTTTACTTTTATATTAACTTTAGCTATAAAATGTATATAAAATGCCCTATATAGTGTAAATAAAGGTACTGAATTGAATTGAATTGTTAACAACAACAACAACAACAGCGTTAGTTGAGCATGACATCATGTGCATTTTCTCATTCGAAGCCATACTGAAGATTTGCTTTTTGTCATAGGAGAGACACAACCAAGTATGCAGTACAGAAGGATGCAGCTCCTTGTTGCTCGGTATGTTGCTTTGCAAGTGCATGACATAGCATACTTTGTTTCCTCGCAATTTACATTTATAGATAAAATTACAGCTTTTGTATGTTTACAATAAACCTTTACGGTTGATAAATATTAAAGTTAGAGTATGGGGATCAAGCAAACCATTCAGTTTTCTAGTTGGCCCCCCTATTTACAAAATTAGTCAACTCTCGGTACAGGTGAGAAACCAGGAAGGAACGGAGAAATTTATGAAAATAATATACATGATGTACCTACAAACTAACAAACTAAATTACAATTACATTGAAATAAGACAACAAAAAAGTAAGTTAAAACGGACAAGTTTTAGGAGAGAGCGTGTTTAAACAGAGCAAGTGACAATGGTTACGAGAAGTCAGTTATTTTGGGCATTGCTTGAACGTGTGCCTTTCTGATAGAGGGACAGTCCTGTTCTCTGTCTGTCTGTCTGTCTGTCTAATTGTGCATCCATGTCAGTCAGCCGTTCGGTCTGTTGGTCTGCCAGTCTCTGTCTGTCTCTTTATCGAACTGCCACACAGACGAACTGCCCGTTTGAGGAAAAAGCGGTTTATAACGGCGAATGGCAGTCGCACTGTTTATCTCCGATATGAAGACACTCAAAAAGTTAATTTAGCTTCAGTAGGTTTTGGCGAGTTGGAGGACACGCGGACTTCTCTTTACTTTGGTAAAGTTGTAAAGGTTATTTTGTATTTTGACTTTTTTCTGTTGTAATTTGTTTCTCAGGGTGATATTACATTGCCACGCACGTCATTGTGAGTAGTTTTCGTTTAGTATAAAACCTTCCTTACTTAGGAAAAAAAGTAATAATTATACTCTATCTGCTACTCTGTTTTGTACCATGTCACCATGCTAAAAGGACCGTTGGTCATTCACTGTATTTATAGCAAGCTTAAAGCCGAGGCAAACACTAACTTGGAAATTTCCAGGGCCTGGTTTTTCAAAGTATGATTAGCTAATCCAGGATTAACGTGTATATAAAATAAACTGTAATAACCGCGAAGAGCGTTTTTCTGTTTATATTTTATGTCCTGCATTATCAACCTTGTCTAATCGCAAATTTCACGAAACATTAGCAACGAAAAACACTTTATACAAGACAAATTGCAAATTCAATCAGCGTTTAATCATGGATCGGTATCATTTGGCTTTCGAAAAACCTGATGCATGGCAGTATTTAAGGTTGCTTACTACAGTTTTTCGGAGACTAGTAGCGCGCGCTATGATTGCTTGCCAGACGTCAATACTAATCGCGCGTGCACAAATGACGCAAGCAACCCTAAGAAGATACGAAAACCACTTCAGCACTTGAAAGACGTTAAATCACTTCGGTATACGTAGCAATAGTTTCATACTCCGTTCAAACATTTGTTTAAACCTAGGGCCAAAAAAATGTGACATAAAAACTGAATGAACAACCGGTAAAAGAGCTCTAAATTACTCTTGCTTTCTCGCACGCGATACATGGCGTCACAAGAGCTCGCGCTTAAATAAAGAGCATGAGCAATTCAGTTCTCCTCCAAGGTTGTAAAATCCAGTCTTTGATTGAGGATTGCTCGAAAACCTATCGTACAACCCATGGTGAAATTTTCACAGTTGATTTGTAGGGGTGAATCACGTTTAGAGCCAAAATTCTTAAAAAATCTGTAAGACAGATGTTGAGCTATTTTTGATTTCACATTTTCTTAGTTTGCGAAAAATCTATCGTACAGATTTTTATTTTACTTTGCATGAATGTTAAATCAGAGCCAATTTCTTATTCCTGAAATTTTGAGGTGGGGTCATACTCGTAGATTTTGAGAAAAACGTGATTTAACCTACTAGTGCCCAGTCTCTCCTTCAGTACTCGGTCGTTCATTTTGGCCATTTGTTGACGTTTAATTGTCCAAGTTTTACATAGAATGGTAAAAGACTTTTAAGGTAAACAGTAAATAGAGAAAGAAAAAAACATCTTGGAACATTTTTTAAAAGAGTTAGAAGTTGGGCTGTTATAATCCATCAAAACTGTAGTAAGCCACCCTAATGGACTTTACTTTTCTCAATAGAAGAGGAAGTGCCACTTACAAACTGAAAAATCAGGAAGGGAAAAAAAATGAGGCTGTAAGTGTCACTTAAACGATGCACTGAGCTAATTAGGGTAGTTTCTCTTTGCAAGATCCCTATAAAATAGAGTAAACGACAAAATAAGGAACCAGAATCGTCAACTAATCGGCAACATGTCCTGATGTGAAAAGAAATTCTCGGAACTAACAGGGAAAGAGATGTAAAACAATCGATAAGAAGAAGTACGATATTAGTTTTACAACATCACAGTTAGTTGCAAAAAACGATTTAAAAGAAACAATCTCGATCCGCCGGCCGTGCAAGTCGCGTTTGAAAACATCTAGCTTCAATGCAAACCAGTTTAGGTATCTTTAAAGAAGACTTACGCATAGTGGTATGGGCTCTTCTTCGATGCCCGCTTGGGTTTGACTCGAGAAGGCAGAAGTGCGGACAATGACTTGGTAAACGCTTGCTTCTTTACCTCACTTACAAGAATTTTAACACCAATTAAGGCCCGTGCTGAAGACAATAAGTGGAAAATCGCGAGTACGTTTTGCAGATACACCTACAAAGCTCAGGATCATGGCGAACGAATCTGTACATGCACTGCACAAGGTTTTTGCAATTCAGATTTTTGCACTTCTCTCCTAGTTTTCAGTTAGAACGATGATTGACTACATCATACTGTTTTCACAGAAAAGGAAAGCTGTTGCTTTAAATCATTATGAGACTACCCCTCATTCCTGTACTGACAGCAGTGAACGGAATGAAGATTCTGATACGATAGACGGTCACGCAACCGACGCCACGGCAATTACAAGAATTGCTGAAAGCCACGAGAACGCTGGATTCGAGCACAGTCAAGAGCGTGAGAAGAGCGAAGAAAAACCCGCAGTTGATCGTAAGATTTCAAATCTCGGCGATACAAAGCCAGACCAAAGCAACGTAAAAGGCAAAAATCGGAAGGTAAGGTTTGATTTGCGTGGTGCTAAAATGAAGAACGAAAGGCGGGCCGTCATGAGAAATATCCCGGATATTATTGTGATCAGCGAAGAAGCAGAGGCGAACCAACAGTTCGACGAAAATGAGAGGAAGCGAGCTTGTGACGAAGACGTTTGCGATGATGTCGATGATGAAGATGATTTGCCTACTGATCTGAGTTCCATTTTTGAGAATTCAAGAGAGAGTTTCGCTTCTGGGTCTGCCATAAGCGATGAGGAAGGAACAGTAGTGACAATATGATAGACCGTTGTTGTTCTGTCTGACAAAGGATGGAGCATTTTACTAGTTTAACTCTCTTTTTGATCAATGAAGAGTCACGTTTGTAATTTATTAACCAAAAATCTTATTGAGCACACGTATTGGTATACTGTATGGTTTTAACATTGACAAGTACTGGCAATATGTTAATACAAGTAACTTGATTCGTCCCTGACTGGTAAGGTAAAAATGCTCCGGTAGTACGCTATGGTTTATTACACTAGTTACAATATAAAATTCGCAGTAGCTATGAGGAGGAGGCATAATTAATTGCTTGCATTTCTTGCTCCCAATTGGGGGATATTATCAGCTGGGGGAGGTCTATGTAGTCAGCATAGATCAGTTGAGTCTAGACATTTCATAAGCGCGCTAGCTGTTGTTGATGTGGTTGAAGTGTCCTAAATTGTTGTAGTGCAGTCACTCCTTCGTAATGCATTGTATGTGGTTAACAGATAATTTCAAATAATGTTTAATGTTTTCTTGTATTTGTTGTATTTGTATTTCGAACAAATACATGATTACATTGCGAAATAAAGTGTTTCAGAAGTACGGGCTGTTTCCTAAATTATCTCGACTCGTCGTGCCGTAAATTTGGGGAACCTGGTCCCAGTTATCCAAAGGATGGATAACGCTATCCACCAGGCCCCAGTTGTTCAAAAGATGGACAACACTCTCTACCGGATAAATTACTATCCAGTGGATATCGTGGTTTGTTTTGTTAACACTTATCCGCTGGATAGCGATTTATCCGGTGGATAGCGTCATCATGCCTTCGAACAACCGGGGCCAGATAAATCATTATCCAGTGGATGGTGTGGTTTGTTTTGCCGTCACTTGGATAGCAACAATCGGCATTCAGGTTCTTTGACTACGTCACGTTTTGCAACAAACACCTTTTGCATGACCGTGAACATGAATAGGTACTGCAGTAAGACAGGTTTGGCACCAGTATATACAGTGTCTCTCAATTTACTTCAGTTATTCTCGTGTAGATTCTAATCAGGCATTGTAACACGGATGAACACCCGCAGGGAATGGCGTTATTCACCCTTTGAACAACTGGGCCCTGTGGTATAACTTGCACGCTACTCTTGGTCACGTACAATATTTACTGGTGAATTGTTACGATAATCCTGACAAAATCCTAGGAGATGATGAGCTGTGCGGGACTAGCGCCTCATTCAAGGGAAGTAGCAATATGCCAAGTACTTTCGCGATAGAGCTATTTTAGGAGTCCACGCACTAGAGGTCAAAGTTATCCGACGGAAGTACATCGTGAGCTTGTAGTTCTGTATGTCGTCATAGTGTAGCAGCTGTTACTGTGTTTGGGATAGGGAGATTGTTTCAGTTGTTTGTTCTATTGTTCTCTCAAAAGGTATCGAGCCATTGAGACCTTGCGAGAGCTGCTACCCTAAAGTTATCGCTTACTAAACGTTTGCGCGAGTTTTTGTTAACTAGCGTTTACTGCGCATGATAGAGTCTGTGTTTTGGCGTCAACAGCGCTGGCAACAAACCACGAAGATGGCGTTGATAACTGTTTCACAAAAAAAGGAAACAAACGTTGTGGGCGACGCCTAGAGCAGTTTTTTTTTATTTTTTTTGAAAATGAAAACTGTTTAGTTGTAAGAGAGGATGAAGGGTACCATATAGTCCTTATTTCTAAGGTAATCTCTCTGAAGCTATTTTTGGATCACTCACGGCCTCAGAATTTCCTTGGAATCTCGAAACAAACCGTTTTTTTTTATTTTCCTACCAGGAGCCTCCGTTTCGTTTAATCATGACATTATGATAACAAGAGAGGATGAAGGGAAACAGAGTTAATCCTCCATGTGGGCCTTATTCCCTGGGTAATAAAGTAAAGTAATAAGGTCCAATAACCCAGGGATTACCTGGGTTATTGGACTGGGTTTGACTCATTGAAGGGATGGGGGAAAGAGCAAGAGTAACCGTACGGATTTTTAGATTCCCAGACTAACATCGTCCTAACCAGGAATGGGACTTTCATCGCTAAATAGACCCTTTGCATAAATGGCGCCTTAATTTGAATAACAATGCTTTGTACTTCTTTCAAGCCTCGTACTCATGTTTTTGTTTTTTGTTTTTTGTTTTTTTTTTTCATTTATCTATTTATTTGTTCACATACAGAATAACATACAAAAAAGTTACATAATTACTTACATTAAAATACCTAAAACAGGTTTAACAACAAACGATAAAACTAGTGGTAACAATAAATAAATAAAAATAAATAAAAGGCGACTCTGCCGGTTTTTAGTTTTTTAAATATTATCCAATAACTACGTACTTGATATAGTAATTTTATTAACAACAATTACTAATAATTAATAATTAATCATAGATACAATTAAGAAATAAGCAGTGCAGAAAAATTTCCGAGATAAGTAATTTAAATTTAAAATGTTGGTGGTATGTCTAACTCTCAATTGCACTTTAGCCTTGATTCGCTTGCAGAAAGTAGATAGATGGCTTTTATGGTACCGTGATGTTGAGAAATGGAAGTAAAGGATTCCATTTCTTAGAAACGGTATCGAGGTTGTTGGACTCTATGCGAAACTGCGATTTTAGGGACACAAGAAAAGTTTTTAAAATCGGGATCTTCTTGTTGACCCTGCAGCTTCATATATAATATCTTGCCAGAAGAAAGCAGAAATTTAGTTGAAGTGAAAACTTAGAGGTGTCCGGTCTCAGACCCAGATATATGGCGGTGTGTTTTGAATAGTCTATGGTCATTAGATTAACCTGCTTAAGTTTTTCAGTCAAATTTTCCCAAAAGGTGGCTACTATTGTACAGTTCCAGAAGAGGTGGATCAGGTTTTCAGAATGGTTGGTACAAAAGGAACAGTTCGGGTCCTGCTTTATATCAATTTTTGTTGGCAAAAGGTTCGTTGATAAAATACGATGAAGGAATCTGAATTGAAAGTTTACGAGTTTTGTGCTTTTTGTGGACCTAGCTGCCAGACAATAGGCCCTAGTCCAGTCAGCAAAACATCTTTCATCAGATTTAATGCTGTCATTCCATTTCTCTTGGCTTTTAAAAGGAACGGTGCTTTTGAAAGAGAGGAGCTTCTGGTATACAGCTCTGTTTGCTTTATCGTTCTTAATAAAAGTCTTGGAGAAGGAATCGGGAGAGTCTGTGCTACTAGGTTCTTTACCGAGAAAGTTAGTGTTATAATGGTGCCGAAGGGCAGAAATAAGGCCGAAATACTTAATGGGTTGTATTCGTATATTGTAAGTGCTGATAAAATCTGC